CGGGGCCCCTGCACTCCCGAGTTGGCGCTCTTGGGGGGTGGCCTACTGGGGAGCGAGGCGCCCCATCGACGCTGCGGCCCGCATGCGTGGGGGCGCCAGGGAACTTAGGGGAACTCCAGCTCCCCAGCGAGGCGGCGGGAAGGAGGGAAGTGGCGTGGGGGGCGTCCTGGAAGTACGGAAGGCAGCCCCCCACCGTGTGCCCCAGCCCTGGGGCATGGCCGCCATGCGCCTCTCCTTCCGTAGCAGCCCCAGACTAGGGGAGAGACAGTGCGCCTTATTTTTCAGCGGGCAGAGCAGGTTTGGGGAGCTCCTGGAGATGGCACCCCCGCTCCCCGGCCTGGCTGCTGTGGAAGGGTACATGGCGCGGTGGGGGGGGGGTTCCTGCCAGCTTGTGTGGGGGGGACGCTGGCCGCGAGCGCTCCCGGGCAAGGGACCAGAGAACGCTGGGCGGGGGTACCCCGGGGAGAGGCGCCTCTCGTTCCCCCCTCCCCCGCTGCCGGTGTTCCTGGTGTCTGGGCCTGCCTCCCGCGCCCGGTGACGCCTCATTGGGCCGCCTCCTGGTCCCTCCCCCGGGCTGTGCGGATAGTTGGGATGCCACTAGTTTGGGAAGTTGGAATTCAGAGCTGATCCCACTTGGGCTGGACCCGGGGGCCCTAGGCCTTAGTTATGGGGGGAACATCCCCAGAGACCTGCTGGGAGTGGAGGGGGCCCGTGGGGAGCGCCTTCTCCCACCCGGACGCTTGCGGGGAAAAGCTCGAGGGAGGGAGAGGGCAAGGCGGGCCGGCGGGAGAGACACGCTGTACCTGTGAGCCGCTGTCGCCAGGGCCCAATTAGCGTGGGGCGCCCGGCGTTATTTTTACATTGTAGGTTTATTTTCCGGGGAAGCGAGTGTCCTCCCGCCGCCTGTCGCGCGCTCCGGCTCTCTGAGGGTCTGTCGCCGGCAGCGGAGGCGGATCTCTTCTGTCGGCTCAGCCTCCTCCCTTCCTCCCCCTCCTCCTCCCCCCTCCCCTGTTGGTGAGAACTGGTTTTATTATGATTATTTTTTTTTCCCCTTTTGCAGATTTGGAGGAAGGATGTGTGAGGGAGGGAGGGGGGACGGGGAGAGGATCCCAGTGGGCCGGACGGGGGGAGTTCTGGGCACGTTGGCTTGTGTTGTCTGTGGCCTTGACTTTGCCCTTTTTAAACCAGATCTAGGTCTCGCGGCTTTGATCTAAGGGGCTCCCGGGGCAGGGCGCGAGCTGGGAGGGCGTCCCCGGGCCCTGCTGTGTACGTCGTCGTGGGTGGCCTTTTTTTT